TGGTACAAGAGGAATGGAAATCAATACCTTCAACCTCCCAGTAAAGAACCACAGCTTGTCTTCAGGTCCATCCAGTCCTCTGACTCTGGAGATTATTACTGTACAGCTGAGAACAAACTGGGGATTGCGACATCTAAATACATCTCTATTAATGTGAAATGTGAGTAAAATTCTCTAACTAATGACAACTGTTTAAGCTTTATTACTCAGTCAGATGTTTTGCGGGTCATGCACTTTCTTCAGCTCTGTCTGTTTCACATTCACAGTCTGCTGCTGTAGTTCACTGAGCAGCTACAGTAGATGATGAAAAGGCAGTTTTATTTACAATTGGCTCCCAGATCTGTACGGATGTTCAGGGGATTCAAACCATCAGTAATCAATAAAACTGCTTCTAAAAATGTCTTATGGTCTTACACATTATAGCATTTTTTGAAATTGTAGGAAGGGTTCAGGTTTTGTTTCCCATGGACTTAAAGTACAGTATCAACATTGTCAGTTGGTGCTATTAATTCACGGCAGAACATCAATGTAGAGGAAGCTTTCAGCATAAAAAACGTTTTTCATACATATTTAGAACATATTTGTATATTTTACTTCTGTTTACTCTTGCAAACGTAAGATGAACTTTCTTACAGTCTCCTCCTTAAAGGACATGAATATTTAATTTATCTTTCACTGTTTGTTTACCCCGCTGTGTCACATTATTTTTACCCAAGCTAGTGTCTAGTTTTATAATGACAAGGAGCAAATCAAACTCCACCACGTGCTTTATGACTGATATCAACTTCATACATTTTGTCTATTATTATATTGTCTATTAATATAATTTACATGTAAATATCCAGTTCCACTGTGAAAACTCATCAGCATCTTAAAGTTATGAAGTTAAGTTGTATTTTCTCCTCCAGATGCTCCGAGGGTTCCCTCTGTGTCAGTGAGTCCCTCTGGTGAGATAGTGGAGGGCAGATCAGTGACTCTGACCTGTAGCAGTGATGCTAACCCAGCAGCTTAATATACCTGGTACAAAGAGAACCAAACACTGTTTCAAGGGCCAGAAGGTATTCATCATTTCACCTCCATCAGCTCTGAGGACAGAGGGATCTACCACTGCAGCTCTGAGAATCAATATGGACAGATCATGTCATCGTCTCTATTAGTAGATGTCCAGTGTAAGTGCAACACAAGATCAAATCTGCTGTCCTGGTGGCCCAGCAGTAAGGGGCATATGACATGTAGCAACAGTGTACCTGGATCACATCTTAATGTTTTATGCACAGAATTATTGACAATCTCCAAACAAGTAATGTGAATTTACTGTTCAAATCAAATAATCAAATCAAGTTTATTCATATAGCACATTAAAAACAACCTGAGTTGACCAAAGTGCTGACTGTGTTAACTGTTGTCTTTAGTTGTTGACAGACAGACAATGGTATCTCTAGAAAAGGCTAAGGACAAAATACATGCCCTCCATCCAAAATGAAACATGTGACATAGCCAAGACATTTAATACATACATCATTATCTGATGTTACTGACATGGATCTCTCTAAATCTCCTCCAGATGCTCCGAGGGTTCCCTCTGTGTCAGTGAGTCCCTCTGGTGAGATAGTGGAGGGCAGTTCAGTGACTCTGACCTGTAGCAGTGATGCTAACCCAGCAGCTAATTATACCTGGTACAAGGAGGATGAAGACTCACCAAAAGCATCAGGACAGATCTTCACCATCACTGACTTCAGACCTGAACACAGTGGGAATTATTACTGTGAAGCCCAGAACAGAAGAGGACGCCATAACTCCACCTTACATCTGATTGTTGTAGCAGGTAAGTTATCCTCATTCACCTGCACACACACCTGTTTACTGCACCAGACCAGATTCACATGATAATCTGTAACAACACAGAAATGCTGCAAAGAAAATACAATTTCCTGTCTGCATTTCCAGACTGTTTTACTGTAGCTGTGTTCAGGGAGGAACCTCTATCATGTTGGAGGTTAATGACTCTGACTGACTAACAGACAGTATCACCTGCCAGTGATTTATCAGTCTAATCCTATTAGTGAGGTATATCACATATCTATCTGTATTTCTAGGGAATTCAACAATCATAATGAATATCATCAGATTGACTCTGGTGGGCTTGATGCTGATTCTTCTTCTTCTCCTGAGTCTGTGGACGAGGTAAAACAATCACAATCCATCAGTTCAGTTCCTGCTCTTTTATTTTCTTCTTTATTTCAATATTTGTTGTTGGTGGATTCGATCCAGGAAGAAGAAAACTCTGAGCTCCACCACTGAACCACATGAACCCATAGAGACGATAGAGGTGAGAGAGAGAGAGACTCTATTGACAAACTTCCCCTATATCACAGTTATAATAACTTATCTCATAAATGCTCTGGAAAGTAAAGAAGATGTGAGTGAATGTAGTTTAAAATACAATACAATACACGATTAAATACATTTTTAAATAAAATCTAATTATATGCACGAATCACAAATGAGGTCCACTGAACTTCATTTTGTCATCTCTCCCCATCAGTTGGACTCTTGTCCTGTGTATGAGAACATCTCAAACTTCAGGACAGCAGGAAGACACGGTGTGAAGTCCAGTCAGGTTAGAGCCTCCTGCGTCCAATAAAACAGTCCGACTTCAGATTTATAGTCACAGCTACAAACATAACTTTACACAAGTTTTCTGTGATTTCCTTCAGATGCAGTTGAACCAGAGGAGGGACTCACCTGATGGAAACAAAGTAGTACAACATTGAAATATCACAGTGGAGAGCGAGGATGTGGAGGATGTGGGGGAAGTGGAAACATTTACCTTCAACTCCAGAGGTTCTCATGTTCAGTTACAGTTTAAACAATGTAAGCTTATTGTTTCATGTAGAGTTAGTTATATTACAAAAAATAAAAAAAATGTTAATTTGACATTATTATAAAAATATCTGAGGGTTTGCATCAGCTGACAAAGCCAATAAAGTCTGTTCAATCAGAGACAGTAAAGTGAAAGTGTTAGAAAGCCCACATTGTTGTTTGCATTTTATGTTTTATTTGCTTCATTCCTATAGAAATCTGTTGTTAAGATGGTGCCGTCTTAAGATGGTGCCGTTACTCCTCCACCGTTTTTGCCATTCACCTATGTTACTTTCGTTTATTGCTATGTGTAAATACTCAAAGTTGACTTTGCTCATGTTTAGAATTGCAAACCAGATATTTGCAACTCTGTACATATATCTCTGCCAGTATTTCTCTACTTTATAAGCCTTGTGGTGGGGCAGTATGTCATTTGGTTGTTTATACATTTTGATTTATAATTACAGTCACCTGCATATGAGGACTAAATTGCATTGTGTTTTTTATGAGTATAGGCTACTTAATTGTACTGCGTTTTGATATATTAATAATTTCCTTTGTGTCATTTGTTACACAGACAACAGCTTAAATAAATCCACAAAACTGGGAAAGTCTGTTTCGTGTTCTTTCATCGGGACAAACATCTGCACCTTGAGCCAACTCTAACCACCTGATTTCCTGGAGACCCCATCTCCATGTACAGTTTATATTTCCATACATTGAAATCAAACAAGCCCCGTACTAGCACACTTTACTAGATGTTACATTTCCCAAGCATTCCTATTCCTATTCCATAGTTTCTCTTTGTTATTTGCCTTTTCCTAAACATTGTTGAAATCTGATTTGCACTTTTATTGGGATTTGTAAATGTGGAGACAAATCTTTAAATCTGAACATGTGTGGACAAATCTGTAAATACAGACATAAACCTGCACTGCCTCATTTTATTAACTTATTTTAGATGAAACCAGGAAACTAGTGACACGGAGCACTGAATTTGGTGATTTGTCTACTGGTGGACAGATACCCTTAGCTTTATTGTTGCTAAAGCATGCAGCTGGCTTGTTAACTGTAGCTAAGCTGAGCACAGTGTGAACACAGACGGCCCGGAAACTGAACAGTGAATTTAGAAATGGGTCTAAAGTGTTTATGATCAGTAGGGTCAAGGCTCGGTGTCTTAATAAGTGGGTGCACTACTGCATGCTTAAGGCAGGAGGGAACACAGCACGTGGAAAAAGAGCTTAATATCCAAGGGAGTTGGCTTTAATTTGGTCATTGTGTAAAGAAAGATGGCCGCCTGTGGCATGACCAATCTGGAATTTTATTTTGTTCATTTTAGGAGGACAATTGTTGCTCAAAGATCATTGGGATGGCTTCAGTTTGTTGAAACTCTTTTTAACAGTTAGTCTACTTGTTGCACCGAGATAACACATTCAGTACACCTAGAATAGCTGTGTGTGTGTGTGTGTGTGTGTGTGTGTGTGTGTGTGACCATGATCTATGCACATGAATGTCAACGAGCTGGGGATCACACATAAAGTTTGCACATCCTCGGCACCCCCCTTGATGGCACTATAGGTGTCACATCAGGCACTGAAGTCTGAAGTGATGTTTCACACTTTCCAGAGTCCCTGCAAAACTTAGTTACATTCTTCATTGCTGAGAGGATAGACAGAACAGACTTTTACTGAATTGTACCTGCATTTACAGAAAGGAAGACATGAAAAATAATATTCTTTTTAGATAGTGTTAGTGAGGTGCCGTGGATACAGGTTTGATCCCAGTAGGCCACAAAACTCTCTCTCATTCTGTCTCATATAGATGACATTATGAAGTTGCTATGTAGGCCGCAAAACAACAAACAAGTTCTATTCTTGGTCATTTAGTGACATCACATTCACAAGGCATAGTAATAATGTGAAGAGGAAGGAAACCTGGTGTATTTTAACTGCCTACTTTCTGTCTCCTGCTTACACCTCCTGACCACAGAGGAACGTTGTAGTTCAAGACTCTCTGTGCATTGTACGTACAAGTGTTTGATGAGACTAATATATATCTTGTGTGCATTAATGATCTTTTTACAGTCTGTGTTTTATTGTCATTGGAAACACACAGAGACGGGAACAGCAGTTCTGAATTGTGAACAGCAGCAGGTTTGTTTCATTTGTCTTCCTTCTCTCTCGTACAGCATTTAGCAGACTTATTCATAGCAGCCTTGAGTGGGATGAAGAAAATATTAAACATATAATATAATATACTTGTGTGTATCTAGAGTTATGAATATAAATATATAAAGTGCAATCGTACTTTTTACATAATCGTCAATACTTAAACAAACACTGTGCTCAGCATGTCACTTTTTGCATCCCCTGCTGCTGCCGAACATCACTTAGAACTGACACTGGGATAAAGGCAGTTTTCACTGTCTTAACATGTTAAATGTCACAGATACATCAAACCAACTCTCACTTTTGTCGTGTTTTTGTGTCCTCTTTAAACTGTGCTCACTCCCAAGCAAAAGAAAGATTTTTAAAGTCTTTGGGGCATGTGTTAGGACCCAGGCACAATTTGGCCAACCTCAGCTCTGTATGTGTGAGCACATGTGCTTCCTGTGCTCATGATAGTACAGATGTGTCAGATTCACTCTTGTGGTCACTCTCTGTGCACATGCTTCCTTGGTAAATGAAACAAACTCTTTGTGTTTTAATTAGGATTAGTTGATTGTTAGGGTAATGTAGGTATTGAGTTTTTATGAAACACGCTGCATTCAGTTCACAGACACAGGGCTGGTTGTTGTTCACCTTGTTTTTTCATTGTTTATTTTTACATACTTGTTGTATTTCAGCACACTGAGTATAGTGCGAATGTCCACTTCCATCTTGTTTTAGTGCTTCAGCTGCTGTTGGCCTCCTATCACAGGAGCAGCTGGTGCAGTGGGAGTTCACCTGTTGAGTCGTGGACTGTTGGCTTCGTCATAGAAGTTCACCTGTATTTATATTTATAGTTTAGTCGGGTGTTATATGTGGAATATAATGCTGACCTACTATCTCCCTTTAAAACCCTCCTTTATCCCCTAAAAAAACAAATGGTTCTATGTTAGGGAGCTGTGGAGTGGAAGAGGTCACATTAGCAACACAACCTGTTTACTGGCATTTGGCTCATCATGCACGTTAAAGAGGAAGGAAATCCAGTGGTATGGCAACATGACATCCGTCTTCTGCTTCCAGATCACAGAGGAAAGACAGATTTAAAGACGACGTCCTTCTTCAGTGTAAGTAGAACTGTTTATTGATGTGACTAATACTGTTTACCTCCTGTGTACATTATTATTTTACCTGCTGACATGTTTTATTGTCTCTGAAGCCTCACAGAGAGATGAGAGGAGCAGCTATGAGTTTAAGTGCAGCAGCGAGTGGATTTGTTGTCTTCCTTCTCTCTGTGTCAGGTACTGTATATCTACAGTTACATTCACTGCTTTAAAAGAGGGGAATCTGGGAAAATGTGGATCAGATTTATGTGCAGTTCAAACTTCCCACAGTTTGAAACATCAGTTTTGTGTACAATTGTGGCACATTTTTTGTTCTGTTGTTTATTTTTGTGTCAGTTGAAATGGATATTAGGATGATCTTGAATTGTTGGCCTGTGTCTTTTTGTTTATGTTTTTCAGACTTTCTTCCTCTCTTGCACTTTAGTTACTGTTTAAAATATATATATATATATATATATATATATATATATATATATAACAGGAAATGCAAAACTTATTTGAACTTGTGTTTTAGTTATCTAATAGTTTCAGTATTTTATAGGATATGTTTTTTTATTCAGTGAATTTCATTTAAAAAATACATTTCTGATTCCTCTGCTTACCACTAGAGGGAGCTTGTACGTAGGATGGTTTGAAAACCAGTGCAATAAATCCTATTGGTTATATGATCAACTTTGTCTAATCAACTGAAGTTATTAATTGTGATTGTGGCTCCTTATGTGCTCTGTGTTACAGTAGTACAGTGTGAGAATGACTGGGGAGTGACTTACACCTCTACTGAGATCTGTGCCTTAAAAGGATCAACAGTGGACATAAGCTGCACCTACATATACCCATCCAGGATAAAAGGCCGTAATACCAAAGTTGAGAAAAAAGTCTGGTTTACAAGAGCGAGTAATAATCTCTATGTGGATATAAAAACAGACCCAGAGTATTCAGGTCGTGTGCAGTATATCTGTGGTAACAACGACTGCACTCTGAGGATCACAGACCTGAGAGAGAGCGACTCAGCTGAGTACAAGTTCAGATTCATAACAAACCAACCAGGTGGGAGGTATTTTGGTCGACATGGAATCACTTTGTCTGTCACAGGTAACATTTTCATATGAATATTTAATTGTATACATACAGTATATATGTAATGTAGTTCCAAATGTTATTTTGTGTGTGTGTGTGTGTATGTTGACAGTTCAGTCTAAAATGAAGACTTCTGTTCCTTATTCACATATTCAGATCTCCAGGTGCAGGTGAGCAGATTATTGGTCTACGAGTCTCATAATTGTGCAGAGCTGAAGTGTCACAGCAGTTGTCGTCTACCTGATCATCTTCACTACGTCTGGTACAAGAATGGACAGAAGATTCAGGGAGACACATCTTATTTTTATTCAAACAATGCTAGTTGTGCAGACAGCTATTCCTGTGCTGTAGAAGGACATGAGAAGTTCCCCTCTCCTCCATTGTGTGAGTTTACTTACAGGTCCACTAACATCTGGTTTTGTGCTGTAGCTTGTGGGGCATTTTGAGTCTTTATGTGTGTGATGTTAATTTGCTTTAGGTTTGAATTTTTTTGTTTGTTTTTAAGTTTTGCATTTCTACTATCGTCACTGTCTAGTGGATGTTTTTCATAAATCAATCTCATGGTCACCCTTTACATCTGTCAGTGGGTATCACAAACATTGAACCAATGAAAAGTGAATAAACTATGCCAACTTTGAATACAGTGCGGTATGTTGTATGTTTGCAAACATAGGGCACATAAATTGGAATTAAATCTTAAATGCGTTCATGTTTTCTCCTCCAGATGCTCCGAGGGTTCCCTCTGTGTCAGTGAGTCCCTCTGGTGAGATAGTGGAGGGCAGTTCAGTGAATCTGACCTGTAGCAGTGATGCTAACCCAGAAGCTACTTATACCTGGTACAAGAGGAATGGGCATCGATATCTTGAACTTCCTAGTAAAGAACCACAGCATGTCTTCAGGTCCATCCAGTCCTCTGACTCTGGAGAGTATTACTGTACAGCTGAGAACGAGCTGGGGAGAACATCTGCATTTATCTCTATTAATGTGAAATGTGAGTCAAACTGCCTATCTAAAAAGCAACATACAGTAGATGATTTTCAAAACATTTTACAAACACACAAAACAACCTGTATACTTTCAGATGCTTCCACACTATTACTCCTTTCAACACAACATGTACCACCAAAGAAATCTGTCCTAATTTGTTTTTATTTCCCATCTCCAGATGCTCCGAGGGTTCCCTCTGTGTCAGTGAGTCCCTCTGGTGAGATAGTGGAGGGCAGTTCAGTGAATCTGACCTGTAGCAGTGATGCTAACCCAGCAGCTAATTATACCTGGTACAAGGAGGATGAAGACTCACCAAAAGCATCAGGACAGATCTTCACCATCACTGACTTCAGACCTGAACACAGCGGGAATTATTACTGTGAAGCCCAGAACAGAAGAGGACGCCATAACTCCACCTTACATCTGATTGTTGTAGCAGGTAAGTTATCCTCATTCACCTGCACACATTCTGTACCAGAAGTCATAAAACAGCATGTGATATAATGCACCATCCATCTATATCAATCCCTTTTTGTCAATGTCACTTTAATGTCAGATCCTAAGGTTAGCGAGCTTCGGCCTGCCATAACTTGTACTACACACTGAATGTCAGTATATCACAATATGATACAATTGATGTAAGGGCTTTTTTTATGTCCTTTAGTAACATTCAGATGAAAGGCTTCAGGTACAACCAAGACATTTAGCTCTGTGGAATTGTTCTAAACATATTGTAACACCCTAATTAACTCTCTTTTCTTTTGAGCACCATTTTGCAGGAGCTAAGGGAGCAGGAGGGAAATTAGCAGCTGCTGGAACAATCTCTGTTGTTCTCCTGGCTATCATTTCCCTGTCTGTCTTCCTGTGGATCAGGTGAACAGTTCTGTTTCACTGAATCAGTTTGTTAAATCATTGAAAGTCAGTTTGTCAGAATTAAAACATTCAATCATTTTTTAATTCTCCTAACCAGAAAAAAGAGGGCTTCCAAGGAACCTTCTGATCCTGAAGAGAGAGCAGACAACAGGGAACAGCTGAGAATAGTTACGTATATTATTCTAGAAGAAAAGAAAACCCATTCTGGTTGCTGTTCATTCATACTGCTGAGTCACTCACTGTCTTCTTCCTTCTTCAGGCAAATTCATTTCTATCACACTTTGATTCTCCTCTTGAATGTGACTAACCTTGTACATCCAGAGGTTTTATGCTTTCCTTGTTCATTTATTTACCTATAACTCTTTTCTTTCATACAGCAACATGTTGGTGAAGTAGAGGTATTTGTTCCATCTTTACCACATTACATTCATTTGGCCATTTGCAATTGTCGAGAAGAATAGCCAATTCAAATGAAAGACCTGCTCATGTAAAATGTGGAGCTGAAAGTCATTTATTTTGTCTGCCTGATCAGGGACAGCCGGAGGAGCAGGAGGACCTTCAGTACGCCAGCATCCGCTTATCCAACAACCAGGCAGATCCTCTCTACTCCAACATCAGAGCAGCTCGGCCCCTCAGACACATGGAGCAACAAGAAGTCATTGAGTACGCTGCTGTCAGCTTTGATAGGGCCAGTACTGCCCCGGGGTGAGCAGCTCTTCACACAGGAACATTATCCTCACTGCTATATTAAAATGACATTACTGTGAAATCAATTCATTGCTTTTGCATTTCCAGCATTGTTTTAATAATTATTGTTGGGATACGATGGTAATTATTTCATTTTTTTTTTTTTTTATCAGATCCAGAAGTCAGGAAACTGGAGATTCAGCTGCATTGTACAGCACAGTCAACAACATCTGATGAGCTCAACATGCATTGTATTCATAGTTTATTTCTTGGGAAATTTTTGGTTCCACTTTATTTAGGCCTACAGATATAGACTATTCATTTTCAAAGTTGCACATTCAGGTGTTTTTTAAAACCAACTATTCTTCTTACTAATGCTGTCCTGTTTTTCCTCTGAGGTTCATCTAGAGGGGCAACCATTAAAGAGGGGGCAGGGACTTGGGCCCTGATCAGCTGCAGTTATGACGAGAGTTGTAATGAAGTAGACTTAATTTTGTTTTGTTGTTTCTTTAATTTCTGATGGAACAAGTTTAGTTTTGTAGCTTTATTTCTGTAAGCTAGGTTTAGTTCCTTTTGTTTAGGCCTCGGGTCGGAAGAAAAAAGTGGATTGAGTGGATTCTCTTATTTTCTTATTTTGGCTAGCCATCAGACCTTTTGTGTTTTTCAGTTGTTTTTGAGGAGATATTTAGTATTATGGTCCTTTTCATTGTTTATTAAATAAATATGATTGTTAAGCATGTCTGCACTTCTTAGGAAACTAATGTATAGCATAGAGGTCAAGTGTGTGTTTGTATGTTTAAATTTAAGTCTAAGTTTATAATGGTAGTGGCAAAAAAGTAATGAATGAATGAATTCACAGACTTGCAGAAGACTTTGTAGAAAGGTTGGTCATGAGCCAGTGGCAGCGAAAGAGAATTACATAACATAACCAGACATACACACCCAGCTTTTTGCCTCATCCCCTTTCATAACTCATGAAGCGGTTGTTGTAAACATGTGTGGGAATACAAGAAGATGATGAAAGTGAAAAAGAGGAAGAAGAATATATGATAAAACATCCTTTGAGAATGTCAGCATCAGTTATCCTGAGATAAGCCCCCCATATGTATTGCCACCACATCTTTCTGTCTATAAGGTGAAATTTGCCATGGAGGTCAAGGGTGTGTGAGGTTGTGGGTGTGAATGCATTAATATGTGAATGCATGGCAGCTATTGCAAGTGAACGCTTGTTAAAATATATTTCTCAGGATGGTTCCCATCAAGAATGTACGATGGAGAACGATAGAGGACGATTGAGACTCAATACTCTGCATGGGTCAGCTTTAAAGAATATGTAAAGTATTTCCTGACTCCATGCATTAAATTATAATGTAAATATAACTTGTGTAACATACTTTTTACGTCCACCAGTGACCTTTTATCTTTGAATTTGTTTCTAACAACTTTTCTTCGTTCCAAACGTCCCAAAACCAACAAGTAGTTCTTCGCACAACAAGGGACGCATTCCCTCTCAGACTTTGGAGCTACTTTTTAAGCAAAAATACTTAAACCTAAGAGTTTTATAGCACCCACATGCCTCACATATTGTTAGGAGCAAAGACAACGGCCCTTAATATGTTTCATGAGTGCGGCCCCACTTTTAGTTCAGAAGGAGTAGTTAAAGTGATATCTACTATCTACTATTTTCCTTACAAAGGAATGTTGGATATCACCAACGTCTGTTTGTAATGAAAATAGTCTCGGCCTGTCATTGAAACTGCAACTGCAAGTGATAAATCAAAAGAAAAACACTTGCCTGTAAGTAAATGAGGAAGTGGAAGAGAGACCACAGTTGAAAAATCTCTAACCACAGCTGCAGTCCTGTTCTTGTCGTGACAAAAAACACTTATACTACAGCCTTTGCACTGCTATCCTCTTTGAATGTGGTAGAGGACACTTTTTGGACTGTTATTCATGGTATGAAGGCAGATGTTAGTCTGTCAGCATGCATCAGAGCTGTGAAGCGATACATCAAACTATCTGTCACATTTGTGTCACTGCACCTGTTTAGTTGAGCACCAGTGACAGACTGTAAACTGTGACCGCACTTAAAAAAGGTCTCTTTTTAAATAGTCTTTCTTGTGTAAGTAGTGCAGAAATGTCTTACATATTACGATTCACGCACGTAACGAAACAAATTAATTTGTCTGGCATTCAGCTCATCATGCATGTAAATAATGTAAAGAGGAAGGAAGATGGGTTTATTTTTAACAAGTTGACTTCTGTCTACTTCTTCCAGACCAAATGGAGAGGTCATCTGTCAAGACAACCCCCTTCCACATTTGGTAGGAGAGTTTTTGATGTGACTGTTTTACTTGACTTGTTTTACATTATTTACATACATACATCTTTTACTGACTCTGAAGTCACAGAGAGAGACGAGCAGCTATGAGTTTCATTGCAACAATGAGTGGATTTGTCGTCCTTCTCCTCACTGCATCAGGTACTGTACATTTATGTTAAAGCTATTTACACTTAGAGAAAAATTAAGAAAGAACTTCATTTTCAGACCACTATGTTCCGAGATTTGACCTGTGAAGTGATGCAGTGTAATACTTACCTACTTTAAACGCTTGACTGCAACACCAAACGTTCACTGTTGGACATCTTAATACTTTCCTTGTGTGAATCCGGATTGTTGAATTTTCACATACAATCTCCCTGTGCATTTACCCAGATACTGTAAATGTAAGTGTTGTGTACCCTCAGGGTAACAGGAAGGGAAAATACATTATTTGATGCACTGTGATATTGAGTGATTCATCCTCAGTGATGCACAAAACGTCTCGGTTGAGTGGAAGCCTACTCGCCTCCAGCTGCAGACACTTGATAAGGAAGTAGCATTTTTTGGGGGGGGCTGATGCAAATGAACGGGAGCTGTTTTGCTCCTTCATCTTTAAGACTGAGGTCTCATGCACTCACACTTCTTATATACCTATTATTAATAGCTTCAAAATAATTTTGCTGATTTGTAATAGGGTGAATGGAGCCTCTGTCATTGCCACTCTGCAGCCGTCACTAAGTCACACACCACACTGACAATTTTACAGATATACAATTAGGTAGTGAGCTTATTTAGCTGTGTCCGGACTTGGGAGTGTTTGTATTTGGTCCTCTAGCACTGGAGCCTTGAACCACTGGGAGGAGGTTTTCAGGCCCGCTGCTGCAGGGGATGCTATCAATGTAACTGGGCTCAGCAGCCTCTACGGACATTATGGCAGAGGCAAAGAGATCGAAAAGGACATTGTCGGAGGTAGCTAAGAAGAGAAAAAGAGTGACCGGACAAGAGTAAATCCCACACTGCAGTTTTTTTTATTTCATAATAACAACTAAAAGCCAGACAGACACTGAGCTGGCTTCCTTGTTGTAGGACTAGCTGGCTTGCTATGTCTTGTGTTGTTGCTCGATGTTTGGCTGGGTTAGCAAAGTTGTCGGCTCGCTAGTTTTTGAGCAAAACAAATGTAATCATAACAAATGCACATGTACAGCATATTCATAACAGTGGTGTAAAAGGGAATTACACTCTGAAACAGGGGGCACCAAATCACAAGAAATACCAATTGAATAATGTTACTTTAAAGGACCAGTTTGTAGGTTTGAGTTGCATCTAGTTGTGTAGTTGCAGAATTCAACTCCTCTTCACCCTCCCCTACCTTGAACCACAGTGTCTGTGAAACAAGCAGGTTACCCTGGACCTTTTTAAATTGATGTTGGATGTTTTCATTTTAAAATTTTCTTTTTTTTTGCTGAAACTGCCCATTTTGGATTTTATTAGATTGTAAATATAAAATATTATTACAATAGCGAACATGTAAAATTGCATCATCATTTTCATTCATTTAAAGTTGGAAGGAAAAGAAGGAAATGTTTTGGTACCAGAGAATGCAAGACACTATCACTATCACTATCATATTTCCTTTTATTGAATGTTAAAAGTTTTAGAATATATGCTGACCTGAAAAAGATTTAATCCTTCACATATGAAAAACCTGGGGTTGGCATGATTTTTTTGATTTACTGAGTTAAAATTCTGAGTCTTAATTTTGACTTCAAAATCTTTTTCAAAAATGTATTCTTATACATTTCCATGTTCTGTTATGATTGTGACTGTGGCTCCTGATGTGCTCTGTGTTACAGTGGTACAGGGTCAGGATGAATGGGGAGTGACTTACACCTCTACTGAGATCTGTGCCTTAAAAGGATCAACAGTGGACATAAGCTGCACCTACAGATACCCATCCAAAAACGCTGTTATTACAGTTAAGGAAACATTCTGGCTTATAAAAGCAAGTAATGATGTACATGTGGATCTAAGAACAGACCCAGAGTACTCAGGTCGTGTGCAGTATATCTGTGGTAACAACAACTGCACTCTGAGAATCACAGACCTGAGAGAGAGCGACTCAGCTGAGTACAAGTTCAGATTCATAACAGACCTTTCAACAGGGAAATATACTGGTTCACCTGGAGTCACTTTGTATGTCACAGGTAACATTTTCATCAGAATATTTTAGATTTAATTCCAAGTGTTCAACATCTTATGAAGGTGACTTGTGTCGTGTGTGTGTGTGTGTGTGTGTGTGTGTGTGTGTGTGTGTTGACAGTTCAGTCTTAAATGAAGACTTCTGTTCCTTATTCACATATTCAGATCTCCAGGTGCAGGTGAGCAGATTATTGGTCTACAAGTCTGATAACTGGGCAGATCTGAAGTGTCACAGCAGTTGTCGTCTACCTGATCATCTTCAATACGTCTGGTACAACAATGGACAGAACACTTCGAGAGGAACATCTTCATTTTCAGTCTCTGTTTATCCTACAGACAGCTATTCCTGTGCTGTAGAAGGATATGAGAACTCCCGCTCAAAACCTTTATGTGAGTTTACTCCACAATCTTCCGCTATCTGGTGGAGCATTTTAGCTACTGTACCACGACTGCCTGTGTCTGTAATTCGGTTGACAATACTTATATTTTGCAGCTAACCACACAACCGGCGTGTGTGCTGTCCGATTTATAGATAACTGTCAAGTCATAAAACTAAAATATTCAGCTCTGTCTTATGATGTTATGAATGTGACTGTGGTTTCTAATGTTTTCTTGTCTTACAGTGGAACTGGGTCAGGATGGCTGGGGAGTGACTTACACCTCTACTCAGATCTGTGCCTTAAAAGGATCAACAGTGGACATAAGCTGCACCTACAGACACCCATCCAGTATAGATGACCGTTATATTACAGTTGAGGAAATATTCTGGTCCACGAGAGTGAGCAATAATCTCTATGTGGATATAAAAACAGACTCCGGGTATTCAGGTCGTGTGCAGTATATCTGTGGTAACAACAACTGCACTCTGAGAATCACAGACCTGAGAGAGAGCGACTCAGCTGAGTACAAGTTCAGATTCATAACAAACCAGACACGTGGGAAATATACTGGTTTACCTGGAGTCACTTTGTCTGTCACAGGTAACATTTTAACACAGTGTTTAATATAAAGGAAATCAGTATGTGTTCACACGGAGGTTGACATTTGCTTCTAAAATAATATTTTGGTCTGTTAATCACAGATCCACAGCTACAGATACATGTGAGGAGATCAACAGTCAACCAATATTCTAACTGGACAGAGCTGACATGTCACAACACGTGTCAGCTGTCTGATCATCATTCCTACATCTGGTACAAGGACGGACAAAAAGTTGAAGGAAAAAAGTATTTTCACCTAAACCCAATGAATCCTGCAGACAACTATTCCTGTGCTGTGTCAGGATATGAGCATTTCCGCTCTCCTTCAGTGTGTGAGTTTACTTCTCCTTCTTTCACTAATGTGATCTGGTGTTTCCTTAACAGTCTATGACTAGTCAGATTCAGTTTTACCTGTGAGGCACTTGAAATACAGCATCTGAAACTATAACAATAACTGTTACAACAGCTCCAGGATCAGCACTCTGGACAGATGAAATAATAAAATATAAAGAACATACAAAATTTATTCTGTTTCACTTTCTTAATCCTTAATTAATGATTATCTTATAAACGAATGACAATTACAAGAGAATATGGATTATACAAACATTCTTATCTTAAAGCTAATGTATGTTTATGTTTCTCCTCCAGATGGTCCGAGGGTTTCCTCTGTGTCAGTGATTCCCTCTGGTGAGATAATGGAGGGCAGTTCAGTGAATCTGACCTGTAGCAGTGATGCTATCCCAGCAGCTAATTATACCTGGTACAAGAAGAACCAAATACCTCTCAATAAACAACCACAGTTTGTCTTCAGGTTCATCCAGTCCTCTGACTCTGGAGAGTATTACTGTACAGCTGAGAACGAGCTGGGGAAGAGGACATCTGAATACATCTCTATTAATGTGACATGTGAGTAAAATGCAGGTTATAGAGAGTAAATGTGCCACACTCCTTGCTTTTTATTAAAGTGGCACTCTGCTGATTTTACACATTAATTTTTTATTTATTTTTTAATTATGATAATCTATATTCACGTATAGAGATGCTCCAAAGGCTCCCTCTGTGCCAATGAGTCCCTCTTTTAAGATTACAGAGGGAAGTTCAGGGAATCTGACCTGTATCGTGGTTAGGGTTAGAATTGTATATAAAATTGCTCCTCTTTACACCTCATTTACATAAACATTTAAACTGCCAAACTCGGATGCATGCCAGTGTTAATAATATTTTCTTTATTACAATAACAGAAAAGATATAAAAAATATTTAGTAAGGTCAAAGTACTTTTCCAAGCAACTTTTAAACATGCAACATTTAAAATGTGATTTACAAGATAACGTTTGCCTTTCTAAACAAATTACCTTGTTGTTTGGTCTCTCTCTACAGATGCTCCGAGGGTTCCCTCTGTGTCAGTGAGTCCCTCTGGTGAGATAGTGGAGGGCAGTTCAGTGAATCTGACCTGTAGCAGTGATGCTAACCCAGCAGCTACTTATAACTGGTACAAGGAGGATGAAGACTCACCAAAAGCATCAGGACAGATCTTCACCATCACTGACATCAGACCTGAACACAGTGGGAATTATTACTGTGAAGCCCAGAACAGAAGAGGACGCCATAACTCCACTTTGTATTTGACTATTGTGGCAGGTACATTTTTCAATTCACTTGTACACATCAAATGTTATAATGCACCATATGATTAGGGATTAGGGATTTTGACTAATTTTGTCAAGATTTCTTTTGGTCTTGATGTCCATGTGTTCCCAGACCTCCCAGCACAACAAGCAAAACAAAATGTTGGTTTGTATGGGTGCTGTGTTTCTGTAAAAGGGCTGAGGCAAATTAAAAATCTGAGTTACTGAGCTTTGCACTTCCTCATTTGAGTGAAGCTATGTGTGCACTGAAATACCAAACAGATATGCAAAGTGAAATTCAAGGTTAAAAATACCAATATGTCTGAGTTGTGTTTGGTTGTAGTGCCACCACAGAGAGAGAAAGTTAAAATTACTGATTCAAACAGTAAGAGTGAGACTGCTTCACTCTATGAGCTCCACAATGGACAATCTCAATGATAAACCAATGCACATTTTCATTTAAAGGATAAAGTTTATATCAGGGTGACCTTGAACATACTTAATGGGTTAATTCTCCCAGTTGGTCATAGGGAGCTTGGGGATCCCACAGGAGGACTGTTTTTACCACACAATCTGTCTTCTTCTTGATTCTTACATGTACAAAAATAAAAAGTGAAATCCCTCTATGGGGCCATTGGTCTTAAACACCTGAATTAAATGTGCTATTTTATCACAGTTTCCCCAGTAGTCTGGAAATTAGCAGTAATTGGAACAGCCCTTGGTGTTTTCCTGGTAATCATATGGCTCTCTGTCTTCCTACTGTTAAGGTGAGAGGATGAGTTTTACTTAAGCAGTTTACATTAAATATCTGATAGTTAGTGTTTTTGGCAGTTAGTTTGGCAACTAAATGATCTATCCTTTTGTTTTCAATTAATTCTCCTAACCAGAAAAAAAAGGACCTCCAAGAGATCATCTGAGCCTGGAGAAAGACCAGAAGACAGGGTGAGCAAGGAGAGTTAAACAACTCATGGTAGTCTTCTGGCAAATGCTCGATTGCCTCATCTGGTTAGGAATGAGTTACTGCTTCAAGTGAAAATGTTCTGTTATGTTGAGGTTGTAGTCATAAGCAAGCATAAAAAGGAGCATTGTATCATCACTAGGTTGGAGCCTGATGGTGAAACTCTCAGTTTACTGTCAGTCTCCATTCTAGCCCTCACCTGTGATCATAAAGTCTGGGTAGAATGGGTTTATAAATGAAAGCGGGTGAATTCAGCTTCCCTCTAAGAGTGTGTTAGCTCATTCTTAGGAAAAGGTTGAGGGGGTCTAATGCCTGGAAGGGGCTAAGAGTAAAATATTTTTCTGGCCCAGAGAAGGCCTTAAGGTTAACTAGAAGGACCTGGACGACATGGCTGTGAAAAGGGCTTCTTGGCTATCTTACTTGGCCAACATGACTGTGACAAGGGATAAGTCAAATATAATGGATGGATGAATGACTCAAGAACACGTACTACCCCTGTTGCTCACATGGTGTGCCCCATGTATTAAGGTTGAGTCCCCAACCCAACTCGTGGCTCTTTACTGCGTGTTCTCCCCTCTCTCTCCCCAGTTTCTATATTCAGCTCCCCAAATTCTTTTTTCAAAAATATTTTAAAAGGTTCATTGCTACAGATGTGAAATGTAAAAGCTATTTTGTCTTTGCAGTGTCTAGCCAATCAGGAGGAGGAGCAGGATGACCTTCACTATGCCAGCGTCCACTTCTCCAACAACCAGGCAGATCCTGTGTACGCCAACATCAGACCAGCTGGACCCCGCAGACACAAAGAGGAAGAAGAAGAGGTCGTGGAGTACGCTGCCGTCAAATTTAACCGTGCCATTACTGACCCCAGGTGAGCTCTTCTCATGGGAACATTATCCTCACTAAAACTTCAAAATGTATTATGTAGAATTGATGATTAAATATTAAATTTTTACACTTTTATGTTGCAATTGCTTGGTTTGTTTTACATGTTTGCTATCACAGTTGTACATTTGTATTAGTTGGTACTATATATCCATGATCCCCTCATTTATTTATTTTTTCTTAGAACTGGAGGTCCAGAAACTGATGCGGATCCATCTGCACTGTACTCTACAGTCAACAGAACTGTTTAATGCAACAGAAATCTCTAGTTCATTTTTTATTTTATTTTTCATTTTCGGCCATGCTAGCAGCATGGGTCTGGAGATGGGAAAATTAATCGGACAGTTGGTTAGTCGTTTGTCTGCGACTTTGGTCCAGACTGAAATAGCTCAACAATGACTCAGTGGAGTGCTTTAAATGTTTGTTCTCACATTCGTGGTCCTACTGTGTTGGTGATCCCCTGACTTTAACTAAGTCACATCAGTAACGACATTTATATACCCACAGGATAACTTAAAATGACTTTGGTGATCCCTTAACATTTTCACTTGTTCTTAACAATCACGTCCAGATGTTAATTAGTCCAATACTTCTAAGCACCTGTTAAACTAATGACATTCCTATTTGCTATCAAGCAAATGTTAACATGCTAACATTGTAATGTGGTGTATATAGGTATATAGGTGATTATATTCTAATAAAAACATTGTTATGCATAGTATATTCCATTTCTGCCATATTCTGCAAATAGAACCCCCTATATCTTGCATACTGGACCTTTGATTTCATTTGAATTTGCTGTTTTCAAGCACATTGTGGTATTAGAGAGGAACATGCATTCTGTATATAGTCTTATTTTCACCACATGATTTTTCTGCCCTACTTTTTCTTACCTGTTGCATTATCGCAATTGTTTTATTTCCAGTTATTTCTACTTCATTACCGTTAAAGCTCATTAAAACTGTTAACCTTTCTTCCTTTTTTATACTTTTTATTATGTCCCATCTCCTGCTTATATTTTTCCTTGTTCTGTTCTGTATTAGTTCTGGTTTGCTTTAATACAAATATGGGTTGAAATTCTCACAGCTGATTTTCTGACTGAAGACCGTAAACTGTGATGATGGTACATATTGCGTCATTTTGAGGGGTCGCAAGAAAACAGGTTAGGAAGCAATGGACTGGGCATTAACATACTGGAGTTTCAGTCCAGCAGGAGAAGTCTGTCAAAGTAGAAGAACTGCATGTGTTGAACTGAAAGTCCAGCACATCACTGTGGAAGATACAAATGGTTTCTGTTTGTGCTGCAAAGTGTAGTGCCTATTTGAACTACCTGTTTTTTTTTTGTTTTTTTTAAATCCTTCATTCATAATATTCAGAATAAACTTCTTTGAAATGTAAAACCTAAAATAATGTTCTACGGGGAGCAAGACATTATTGATGCGGTACAACTATTAAGCCATGGCGTCAGTGAGTGTCTCATTGTGCACTGAAGTGTAAAGTAATGTTTCAGACTTTCTGTAGTCTCTTAAGGACCTTAGTGATGTTATTTACTGCTGAGAGAACTGACGAACATTATTTCATATGCTGAATGAATCATAAAGCTTATAGTTTGCAAAACAACATGGATATGACAACAAAGTCATATTATCATCTGGTTCACTATGCATAGTAATAATTTGAAGGAAGGAAGGAAGTCTGGTGTTTTTTAACAGCCTACTTTCTGTCTCCTGCTTACACCCCCTGACCAAAGAGGAACACACAGTTCAAGACACAGCGCAGAAGTACATGTACATGAATTACCTTCTTATGAGTTTTATTGCAATTGAAGCCTCACAGAGAGATGAGAGGAGCAGTTATGAGTTTAACAGCAGCAGCGGGTGGATTTGTTGTCTTCCTTCTCTCTATGCCAGGTAATGTACGTCCACATTTACATTTTAGGGCCTTAAGTGGGATTAAGACAATATTCTAAATAAACCCCAAGAAGTGTCTTCTGTTTTTTTGATTGTTGCATTTTAGCGTTAGTGGTTTTATTATTGTGATCCTTAGATCTGGTTATTTTTTCACACGTGAAACATCTTTCTGTATCCTTTCACTTGAAATAGGAAGAAGTGTTTTTTTGGTTTTTGTTCCATTAAAGGGGAACAGGGAAGTAGGTATAAAATAAATTGAAGAAGCCAGAAGGCTGCTGGTAAAGATTTATCTAATTTACCTAATTGACAGAGTAGCTGAGGGTTCAAATGTAGGTAAATGTGCATGTGTGTGGTTCTATGAACAAACCTGACAAGTGTATTTGGGTCTCTGGGAGCTGAATATAATTCATTTCAATCTGATTGTTGTTTTTGTCCTCTTGTGTTACAGTGGTACAGGGTCAGAAAGACTGGGGAGTGATTTACACTTCTAGTTCGATTTGTGCCTCAAAGGGATCAACAGTGGACATAAGCTGCACCTACAAATACCCATCAGTAAAGAACCCTGCAGCTAAAGTTGTGGTTGATAAAACAATGTGGTTTAGAGTAAATAGTTATGAAACTGTGGATGTAAGAAAAGACCCAGAGTATTCAGGTCGTGTGCAGTATATCTGTGGTAACAATGACTGCACTCTGAGAATCACAGACCTGAGAGAGAGAGACTCAGCTGAGTACCAGTTCAGATTCATAACAAACCAGACACGTGGGAGTTATACTGGTTCACCTGGAGTCACTTTGTCTGTCACAGGTAACATTTTTATTTAATATTTATGTTGCTCCAGATATTCAAGATCAAGGGTACTGTGAATGTTTGATTAAGAAAATCTAAGCTCAAAGGTCTGACTCTTGGCTTAAATGGTCACATCATAACAAGTTGTCATATATATTCCCCTCTGATATTTCTTCGGACTGGTTTTGTGCTGGTGTTCAGACAGCTGTAAGTGATGCTCCTCACATAAACACAGATGTCATGTGACGTAAAGTTCACAGTTTGGTTATGTCAGTGGCACCTAATCCAGCTCTGCTTGCTGAATGACGACCAGCAGATGTGACTGAAAGCTCTGAATCATTGATAAGAGTAAGAGTATGACTTTGAGATTAGATTCTTTTCACCATTTATTGTTCCCGAGGGGCAAAAATGTACAGTAATATTGTGAATGTGTTTTAGTATGAATATGAATCAGATTTTTATTCCTTCTTCACAAATCCAGGTCTACAGGTACAGGTGATCAGATCAATAGTCCACCAGGGTTATTCCTGGTCAGAGCTCCAGTGTCAAGGCCATTGTCGTCTACCTGATGAAATGTCCTACATCTGGTACAAGAATGGACAGAAAATTCATGAAGGAACATCTTCTTATTCAGACTACACTAATCCTGCAGAAAGCTATTCCTGTGCCCTTAAAGGACTTGAGGATTTTCCTTCTCACTCAGTGTGTGAGTTTACTCCACAGTCTTCTACTAATAGATAGGCATCTGGTGGCACATTTAGCCTATTGTACTGTCAGTAACTGCAAGTATTTTAAATATGGGGAACCACACTTCCCCTATCTATATTAACACCATCTTTTTTGCATTGAGCTCTACAGGATCACTTCTGTTCTTGGTAACTCAACAATACAAAGTGCTATGTCTTACTGCAGTGAAAGATGTAGTGGTAAAAGTCTGGTTTAAGAAAGGTTTTATCTTTCAGGTGTCCGTGTTCAATTCTGCAACAGAGTGACGTACCTTCAGAAAAGCATTTGTGTCTTGAAAGGATTAACAGTGGACATTACGTGCATGTACAACAGTCATCAAACTATCATATCAAAATTCTGGTTCAGTCCTGAACATAGTCGTCAGTGGCAGAGTCCCTCACAGCCTGAGCACCTCAGTGAAAGTCGTGTTCAGGTCGTTGAACGGTGGAGAGGACGCTCCACTCTGAGAATCACTGACCTGAGAGAGAGCGATTCAGGCCAGTATCGCTTCAAATTCACAGCAGGAAGCTTTGAATGGAACAGTACTTTACCTGGGACAACTCTGACTGTCACAGGTACTGATGAACACAAACTGATGTTATATAAAACATAATCATAGCCATTCACTACTGATACTGAGAATATGATTTTGTGTACTTACCCCTTTACATTTTTGGGAAACTGTAAGTTACTAATGCTCTACTTATGACTTATAAAGTATATATGAACCATATGTGTTATTTTAATATTTTTTACTCTGTGTTCATATGATCCTAGTAAAAAACAAATACATAATTTCTTTAAAGATCCAGATCTGCAGGTGGTAGTGAGGAGGTCTTCATATTATACCTGGGCAGAGTGTCACAGCAGTTGCCACATACCTTACCATTCCTCCTACACCTGGTTCAAGAATGGACAGATGATTCCGGGTCAAGGAACATCTTATTCAGGCAACTTTTATCCTGCAGACAGCTATTCCTGTGCCCTCAAAGGACGTGAGGATTTTGCCTCCCCTTCAGTGTGTGAGTTTACTGAACAGTCTTGCACTAACATATGGCCATCTGGTAAAGCCTGTAACCCATTGTGTTATCATTTTGCTCGTATTTCAGTGAAAGCTGGTGACTCAACATTTTTTATTTAAGAAAAATCATGTTGCTTATTCATCATGAGATTTGTAGACATGTTGCATTTTTACTTGCACTGGAGGATTAAAAAATGAATGAGCTTACATTTCAATATATAACATAACCTGATTTATTATTGTGTATTTACGTTTTTTAGGGGATCACAAAATCCTCGGATGGATCTGTTGGCTATAAATGTGTTAAACCAACATTTAGTCATTGCGGAAATTCCGTTGTCTTGCTCAATCTGTCAACCAGCCTCTTTCGTTGTATGTATTAACATTTTTTTTATTTTTTAGGCGTCATTGATCAATCCTGCAACAGAGTGACTTACACCAACAGAAGCATCTGTGCCTCCAAAGGCTCATCAGTGGACATTTCTTGCACGTATAACAGTCATAAAAATATCACATCTAAATTCTGGTTTAGTCCTGAACGTAGTCGTCAGTGGCAGAGTCCCTCACATCATGAGGACCTCAGTGAAGACTTCCAGTATGCAGATCGTGTTGAGGTCCTTGAAACAGAGAGAGGACGCTCCACTCTGAGAATCACTGACCTGAGAGAGAGCGATTCAGCCCAGTATCGCTTCAAATTCACAGCAGGAAGCTTTGAATGGAACAGTGTTTTACCTGGAACAACTCTGACTGTCACAGGTACTGATGGACACAAACTGATAATCACAGCAGCACAGTTTAATAAAAGCTTTTTCTACCACTTTCTAATAGGTGTCCCTAAATGGGTTTATAGGTTGTGACTTTATTAATAATTAAAAATAGTTAACAACTTTCTTTTTAGCTAGCTCTGTAATTAATCAGGAAGATTACTTCAACTGTGTGATAAGTGTTTTATGATTCTGACAGCTTTTGTATGAACCCCATTACCATTTTTTTTGGGGGGGGGATTAATCATTTCAGTTACTGATGCTTACAACTGTAAAGCTTATTGTGTGTTTTTTTGCTGTTAACCAATGACTTTATGGGTTTCTTCCTCATCAGCTCTCCAGGTGCAGGTGAGCACAAAAGTAGTCCATGAGTCTCATACCTATGCAGAGCTGCAGTGTTACAGCAGCTGTGGTTCAGCTGGTCGTCTTTCCTACGTCTGGTTCAAGAACGGAGCAAAAAACAAGGAGGAAAGTTCTTTTTATAAAGACCAGTTTTATCCCGGAGATGTCATCTCTTGTGCTTTGAAAGGACATGAGACGTACGGCTCTCCCTCAGTGTGTGAGTTTGCTCCACTGTGTAACTAACAAAGACATTTTATCCAACATAACTGGGTTGCTCCCCATGGGAATCAACCTCCACTACTCACTTTACATCTAATACTTGCTTCTTCACTTATTAAGTATATTAATGTTTTCTCCTCCAGATGTTCTGAGGGTTCCCTCTGTGTCAGTGAGTCCCTCTGGTGAGATAGTGGAGGGCAGTTCAGTGACTCTGACCTGTAGCAGTGATGGTAACCCAGCAGCTACTTATACCTGGTACAAGAGGAATGGAAATCAATACCTATACCCTCTCAGTAAAGAACCACAGCTTTTCTTCAGGTCCATCCAGTCCTCTGACTCTGGAGAGTATTACTGTACAGCTGAGAATGAACTGGGGAGGAGAACATCTGATTACATCTCTATTAATGTGAAATGTGAGTGAAACACAATATTGGAAAAGCAACATACAGCTTAATTATTTTAGTTTTCATTTCTTGAAAAGGATCTTTCTGACAGCAAATGTTGCAGCTGCTGCTGCTCTAGAAGTTTAATACCCTCTTGTGTGGCTTCATGTTAAATAATCGTTTCCAGATGCTCCAAAGACCTCCTCTGTGTCAGTGAGACCCTCTGGTGAGATAGTGGAGGGCAGTTCAGTGACTCTGACCTGTAGCAGTGATGCTAACCCAGCAGCTACTTATACCTGGTACAAGGAGAACCAAACACTGTTTCAAGGAACAGAAGGTATTCATCATTTCACCTCCATCAGCTCTGAGGACAGAGGGATCTACCACTGCAAGTCTGAGAATCAACACGGCCAGTTAGGCTCTAAGTCTGTATTTATAGATGTCCAGTGTAAGTGTATTAGTGATTCTCTTAGGCAAACAATGAATTAAGAAGAATGAATTAGTGGGTTAATTTGTTCCATTAAGGAAGTAACCTGTTGTTTCTGGAAAACCAAGGACAAAATTGGTCCGTTTAATTTACTCCATGAGAGAAAAAAGACCATACAGTGTGCAAATGTAATTGAATTGTCTCTCTGTATATATTATCCTCCAGATGGTCCAAAGCCTCCCTCTGTGTCAGTGAGTCCCTCTGGTGAGATAGTGGAGGGCAGTTCAGTGAATCTGACCTGTAGCAGTGATGCTAACCCAGCAGCTAATTATACCTGGTACAAGGAGAATGAAGACTCAATAAAAGCATCAGGCCAGATCTTCACCATCACTGACTTCAGACCTGAACACAGTGGGAATTATTACTGTGAGGCCCAGAACAGAAGAGGACGCCATAACTCCACCTTACATCTGATTGTTGTTGCAGGTAAGTTTCCAGTCACTTACACATACTGCAGCAAAGATAAGAAGATTCAGACTAAGATGATGAGGATAATGAAAAATTTGGAATGGTCTCCAGAGGGAAGACATCTGAAAACACCTGCCATGTGTTTTAGTGTTGACAAGGAAAGCTGAGCTTTTAGAAAACATATAGACATGTGGGCCTAAATACATATGGATTATGAGTCACAGTAAAGTTAAAAAGCCAGCGTTTTAACTTGTATAGTGTACATGACATTGGCTTTTGAGGATCCGGAAGGTTTTCCAAAGGTCTGTTCCTGATCAGATTACATATTTTTGACCAGTGAAGACCTCAACTTTTGTCTTACGGCAGCCATGATCCTTGTACTGTCATTTTCTAATCTCTCTTTGAGGCCAGTGGGCCTAAACACCTTGTAACAGCCTAATTAATTGTCATTGTTGGCATTTTATCACCACTGCCTGGAAGCATGGAAATCTACAGCTGCTGGAACAACCACTGCTGTTGTCCTGGCTCTTATCCTCCTCTCTCTTTTCATATTGTTTAGGTAAGCAGTTTACTTTTGTGAAATCATTGTTTATTAAAGTCAAAATATGGCAATACTGTAGTCACCAAAGTAATGTGGAAACACTGGTTTTTTTTTTTAATTGTCCTAACCAGAAAAAAGTGGGTCTCCGAGCAAGCACTGAAGCCTGAAGAGAGACCAGACAACAGGGATCAGGTGAGGAAGAAGAGTTAGACAATTAGAGTGCAAAAGAAATTCACTCTGTTTTCACAGGTCACTTCAGACTGGTTCAAGGTTCAACGTTGTCATTTCCACATACAGAACACAGAGTACACAGGAACGAAATATTGTGTCTCGCGGTCCTATGGTATGACCCTGAGGGGCCACTGTGTCCATGCACGCCGCCATCTGGGTCACTGGCTCATTTTCACAAAGAAATCATGTCCTCCCCTCTATCATCCTTTCCCTTCTTTGATCTTTCACGACATGTATTTTGCAATACATTCCAAACCTTTTGTATTTTGGTGGTTGCTTGTCATGTTGGTCATCCACGACAACATAAAGGCGTTATTAATGTTTGTTTTTCCTGGACGTGATCCAATTTCATCTACTTTATTGCAGTGTGTGTCTTTCAGGAACAATGTTTAATAATCCTCAGCATACATTGTTAGCAGTTAGCAGACTTTTCTCTATGTATGTACCAATTTGGGCACAGACAGCTGGGATGAGATCTTGGAGCAGACCCAAAACATACTGGAGGGATAACATATTAACCAGGAAACACAGGACTTGGCTGGGTAAAAGGATATCTGGGCTTCTGCTTAGCTACTCTGGCTACCACTGTGATCAAACCCAGATAAGCAGTGAATAATGTATGGATCACAAACAAGAAGTTATACAACCCAGAATTATTTTAGGGGGGCTCTGGCTGGTCTATGAACTTTACATAGTCATGTGCAACAACAGTAACAGCAATTGAGCATAGCGTTAGTTCAGGCAGGGCACGAAGTCAGGCTTAGCTTTCAGTTACAGCTATATCATACGATCACAGCTAGTCATAAACATACATCAGCTGATTCCTCTAAGCTTCCCATTGGATACCATACACAGTCAGCTGACAGCTCACCTGATTTCCTCAAGCATCCAATTGGCAAACATCATGCATGGCGCCTTATTTAAGCTGCTTTAGCCTGCCTGCCTATCTCTGCTGCTCCTCTACAAGCCTTTTTGCACCCACCTCCACCCCAGCTCCTCCTTTTTATGTTTCTAATTAATCAATGTCATTTTCTGATTGCCATTGATGCTTGCTCTGTTCTGTACCCTGGGGGGGTCTCTGCTGCCGCTCTCCTTGTCTTAAACTTTTCCATGTATGCACATGGAAGGGCAGGGAGGTGTGCTCTCCCTGCCTTAAGGTTTTCCACGTAGGCACGCGGAAGGACAAGGAGGTCCCAGAACAGAGCCATACCGCCAAATGTAATTCTGCTTGGATATAAGATATTTTGACAAAAGTGGTCCTGACTGAACTGCTATCGCGGACAAGTCTCTGGTTGCTTTTGGCTTTCTGTAAAAATCATACAACCCTAAAATGAATAATCATTCTTTATGCAATATCTACCACTCAGACACAGCTGGATGACAGGCAGGATGACCTTCACTATGCCAGTTTCCAGTTCTCCAAGAACCATACAGATCCTCTCTACTCCAACATCGGACTAGCTGAGACCCTCAGACACGAGGAGGACGAAGACGAGGGCGTTGAGTACGCTTCTGTCAAATTTACCAGTTGCAGTACTGCTTTGAGGTGAGCAGCTTGTCTCCCTTTATCCTTCAACAACAAAATTGCATTTGCTTGAAACAGTTAATGATTTTTATTCAAACAATATTATAACTGTTGCCGTTTGTATCATTTCAAATCTTGTGTGCAGAATAAATGTAATTCATTTTGTTCCCTTTCAAAACTAGAGATCAGACGTCAGCTAGGGATGATTCAGATGCATTGTACTGCACAATCAACAAAACCTGTTCAGCATACCAGCCTGGTATTAATATCAAGTAGTTTGTTAATTTAAGCAGGTATTTAATATATATCTTCGGACAGATCAGTCATGAGAGAATGCAACATTGAGACAACTGTACATTATAAGCCCAATTTACAAACTTAAACATTTAAAATGATTTCTGTTGGATAATTATTTATCACAGATTGGATCTGCACAGTGTGTAAAACGCCTGAAGCATTTTATTGTATGTATTGCATATTTCCTATAGTGTATTTAAATTAGTAGTTGCCCTGTTTTTGTATGACTCGTTTAAATCCCAGCAGATAGATAGCTCGCTACAATTGATTGTTATGTGGAGGGAATTGGGCTCCTCCAGGGTCATGTTAGGTATGTTTGAACTTTTTTCACTTTTAACAACAATGTAATATTATGAATAGTCATTTGAACTTGCTGCATGCACGACAACTGTAAAAATGTAACTGACCTTTTCATTTATAAAACATAAATAGTAAGTATGAGCTCTGCATAAAGGATGATGAAGATGATGACTTTTGCTGTTGAATTAAACCCTTTTATTAACAATGCATTTGATTTTAGCTCATGTTAGACAGTAGACATTCTGAAACATTCACTATTTTGTTTTGTATTTTAACCATTATATAAAAGCTATAATACCCTTGGCTGCTCAGTGCACTTCTCTTTTTTTTTCTAGATGTATTTAGTTCTTCCTCATTCTTATTATATCCTTACAGTAGAAACAAAAAACCCAATGGGTGTGTCACTATATCTAGCTCTACTTTCAGTTCTTTTTTCCACAGTGAAAACAAATTTTATGAACACACTTTTATGTCCTCAGTGATCAGTGAATCTTTGTGTGCACCGTTATTTGCCATCTTTGCAACAAAATGGAGGAGGATGGTATGCAGTTGCTGCCGAAACCCCTCTACAGGCTGCAGGCGTTGACGGACAGTTCATGTGCATTATCACTGAGGCCCTTGCATTTTGCCTGCAGGCTGGGATTGCTGGAGCACTCTGCAGATGAAGGCCAGCGTTCCACCCAGGTGTTCTTTCCTAACATGTAGATGAGTCTGACAGATAAGGAGCAAAAAGGGATAAAAAACTCTGTTTAAGTTGTGTAGATCAGAAGACTGTTTCTGCTCCTTGTCTCCAAATGGTTATGGTGCATCTTTCACAACAGTTTATTAAAATCACCAGTGTAATTGAATGTATCTATTCCTTTTAACCTTTTGATTGATTGCAAGCTGGAATCTTTAGGGTTTCCTTCTTCTAACAATAAAATGAAAATAAAGTAGCCTTTTTAAGCCAGAGTTTGTTACCTTAGTAAGGTTTGTAGTTTTTACAATGAATAAAGGCTTTAAAAGCACTTCTTAGTTTCAGTTTCTAGTTCTTGTGAAATAGACTGCAAGAATCCCAATTTCTCATACTTTGGTAGCTTATATGAATGTGATAACAGTGATTACCTGAGCATAACTGTGCTGAAATTAAACCTGACCTCCCAAAATTGGCATCGTTTTATAATTTTTTTGTGACATGTATATTTGTTTTTTTCTTGCTCTTCGTACCTGTTGCTGTCAGTATCAATGTTCCACTGGTCCTCTTTGGGGCCGATGATGAGGTACTGGGAGCCCAGCTTCAGGCTGAGTCCATCTCTGCAGCCTCCATGAGACATGAACAACCTTTTCTGGCCCACTTCAACTCCAGACTCCAAACCTGGATGGTAGGAGGACGGGATTCAGAGAATATATATAGCTGAACTAGATAACAGAGCTTAAAATACGTGTCAATTATGTGTCAATATGTGTCCATCTGACAAGGTATTTGCATTACATACTAGTCTATTGCAATGTTATTTGTTTGAAAATTCTTCATTGTTTTAAGTATCTCAGGTAGTAGCATCCTACTACTGAGATTTGAATCAGCTGATAATCTTTTATTTTGAAAAAAAGGCAGATAACCATAAAAGACACACATCCATTGCATTGACTTACCCAGTTTGATAACTTGTGTGATCTCCATCTCGTATTTGTCGTAATAACTCTGAGTGACATTTAGCACCTTCACCTGGAAAACTGAGGCCCAAGAAGAAATGGATAATCTTTATACCATTCATAATTAGGCCTGTGGTGATGACACCATGACATTTGTTTATGAAGTTTATGGTAGAGAGGAGGAACCCTAATTTTTTTGCTGTTAACCTAACTGGTCTTCTATCATTACAGCAGGGTCAAATATTTTAAATGTATACAAGACATAGTGCATCCTAATAGGCAAATTGCTGCAAACTTTACTAATACAGCATAACAATAAATATATTGTCTTATTATTAATCCTACCAGCAAATCAATAAATTCCCACGAATAGGTAACTTTCCACTATTTCAGTTTCATTTTCCCAAACACCTTTCTTATTTGTTTATGTTCTTGATTGCTAAAGAGCTGTTAGTCATTTCTATAAAATACTAATTGCAAAGTTAATCTCATATTATTCTCTCATTAATGCTACTGTGATCATTCAAGATATATATATATTATAAAAGCATTTGCCCTGCAATAACCCAATAAAGACTTGAGACTGCATATATGTTAAAGATATGAGTGTGTGACAGTGTATCATACCGTGGTGTAAACTCTTGCAGGCAAATGTCTCCCGTTCTTTGTTGGAGAAGTTTTCATCGTCGATTTTGGCGACACAGCAGTCTCCTGGAGATTAGGAGAAAATAAAAAAATACTTTGAAAATAACTGATGCCATCAACACACACATCCACTGATTCACTGTTGCAGACTCATGCACACGTCACCCTGCGTGCAGCGGCAGACATTGTCTCTGCAGATCTGAGTGAGCCCCTCTTTGTCCTCCCTGGGAGAGTAGGTACGACTGCAGCGGTGATCTGTGGCAAAGAGAGAGAGCAGAGCTATGACACCTGTCACCATCATATTGAAAGCTGCAATATTATTTGTTAATATTACAATAAATAAAGGGTTTTTTTGGTAGTGAACAATTTATGGAATGTTTCATAATGAGGTAGTCTGCAGTGGGTCTTGACCAGCTCAGAGGAAAGAAGGTGGGACTAAAGACTGATCTACAATGACACCATTGTTTGAAATGTTAGTAAAGCCTTTCCACTTCCACTTCCACCACATGTGCTCTCCTACCTGGGTTGTAATACTCATAGACAGTAACCGAGGATGGCTGGAGGAGGCCAACTTTGAAGCTCTGCTGAAGCCTGAAGATCAGGATCTCTGGCTCTCTGTGAGACACCTGAGAGGAGGCCACGGGAGGATAATTTAGTGCAACATTGAAGAGAAGCACAAAGATTACAGAGCCAGTGAGAATATTAATTTAGCAAGTATGAGGTCCTGGTCCAAGAAGCTTATTTACAGAGTTATCTGTGTGACAGTGCTGCTTACAGTCTAGATCCAGATAATTAAACCTTCTTCTTGGAGGGACAACTTTGAATTTGAAGTCAATGACAGGAAGCAGCCAATCAAACAAGTTGATATGACTTAATCTCCGTAGCCATTTTACCTTGAACAGGTGGATGATCAGAGAGCCTCTGTCACTCAGGTTATCAACAATCTGGAAGTTATTGATGTAATGGTCCACTGAGTTGGACAACTGGACAAACACACACATACAGAATCAGTTAGCAACCGTGGCCCAAACATTCGACCAGTCTCATCTTCACTGTCGCACATCAGTAAAACTTCACAGCCAACATTTACTCATTAAGGATTTTATATATGCAAGATTAAGAATATGAATATAGCAGCAAACAACTTGCTGTGTAAAGATATAGTGGAGTAAAGGTGTCCTCAACAGAAAATGACCTCACACTCCTCTGTGTGTGTTGTTCCTCGAGCTGCTAATTTATTTTGATCTGAGATGCTAGTGCAGCATCTAGTGGCAGTGAATGTCATAAATGTAACTTTAAGATTAAGACCAGCATCGCAAAGGAGACTGATTACCATCTCCAGGTCCGAGTTTTCTGGGGTGAAGCCAGTGGGCAGACTTATATCCAGAACCACCATCCTGACATCTCTGGGCCCTAAAGCCCTGTGGGACAGAAAGAGAGCAGCACTGATAGAGGATACTAAACGAAAGAGGTTGTTAGCAGAAAGACAATTCATCATGAACAGATCAGAATGGGAGGAAAACACTGGTTAAACTCCTCGGACATGGCATACTGCATTTAGAAAATCCTATCAAATGTGTCATCCAGCATGAATGATGAAGGCAGCAGTTAGGCCAGTCCCAGACGAGATACATTATCATTCAATTATCATATCAGTTGGACCTTAAAATGAAAATGTAAGTAAGTAAAGCAAACTTAAATGTTGAAAAGGTTAAACATACATAACTCACCTCACTTTGATGGTGATCTGGTAGGATTTTTCTACATCTGCTGGAGGCTTTTCTATTATGTCATAGAAACAAAGCATTATTTAATGTACAGAGGTTGGGTTTCTTATGCTACAGACATAAATGTATATAATACTTTATCTTAATCAGTTATGGTACAGTATGTTATTTTATTCTTATGTTACTACTGTAATAATCAAGTTATAATTTATATAAGGTCATTGAAGGTGTGTTGTGATATGTTACAAAGTACATCTTAAAATGGATGAATGTATTAATCTTATTTCTATGTTTGTTTTACTTATTTATTTTTGTTCATATTGTCTTTTTTATTTCAAAAAGCACTTTATAATTATAGTTTCGTAAATTTGCTTACTAATACTTACTAATATTTTAAATGTTATGCTTTATGTTGTGATGTACGATGATTACTTTATTATATTATATTAAAAATATCAATAAAATGTTATATTTATGTCATAGCAGGTGTTAAGAATTAAAATTAGGTTTGCAATTACAAAAGGAAATTTGATCAATTTTGAATTTTCTCTGTTTGTTATATATTGTTGTAATTATGTCACATTTTATGCTGTTACATTTCAGCATATCAAGGAAATGGAACAATCCAAGAGAAGATGTACAGTATTTCATCCCTTTGAAGATGTAAACATGACAGAAACAGGATAGAAAACAACAACACTGAAGAGCGAGACATCACTCATATATGAGACAGAGGAATAACTTGAGTTACCGCTGGATTCTTCAATATTGACACTGAGCTCAAAGTCTTTGCAGGGCATTTTCTCATCCACCTCATGCAGCTGGTTGTAATAAGTCACAACCTTATGTCAAAGTTCAAGTAACAGGAAGGCACACAACATGTAAAACAAAAGAGAGATACAAGAGAAACAGTAAGTGTAAAAAAACTCCATATAAAAAAGCCCATATAAAGAATTAAGCCACTTAAAAAGAAAATCCTGCTGTATTTATTAATTACATTTTGAATGGAATTTTTTTAGTTACAAAACTAACTGAATGATACCACTCTTCATTTACAACCTGTCATGTGATTGCACCTTTGATTCCATTCATGTATATGTGCATATGCATAAAAATGTGAGCGTACCTCCAGTATACCCTGTCCGTTCCCTTGAGCCTCCACTTCCAGATCAACATTAGCAGGCAGCTACGAAACAAAAGATTTTTTTTTTTTGTTAAAAAAAAAGTTATTGCACCCAGTAGCATTTTCAAATCCTAAAATGTTTAAGTCTCTCACCCTGGAAGAGCGAGCAGCATAGG